CCCCTATTTATTGACTTGGCCTGCCTTGCCATCAAAAGAAGGCACTGCATGGGAGTACAAGGCAGATGAGATGGGAGGATATCACTTTGCACCCAAAAGATCCAATATCATGCCATGCTAACTGGTCGAAGAGATCCTGAAAACAGTGCTGCTGCTGCTGCTAGAGACACATCCATTCCCATGCGCTTGGCTTATGCAAAAGCCTATGTATTACCCAAGTCATAATGTTGGGTATAGCTGGTATTTAGGTGTTTGTGTGCACCATCTACCCTGAGCTGACTTTCAATCTGCATCCATTTGTATGTGGTTTTATTTATTTGCAATATTGCTCTCATTTTCTTTTGCTCCCCAGGTCAAAGGGTTTCACCCTGTTATTGCTGCTTTTATTGGGTTTCTTTAGCCTTGTCCTCCAGATGTTTCTCTGGCACTGGAAATGTCAGTCCTGCCTGTCTTTAGAAATGGGTGGAAATGAGCCCATCAAAGAAAGCTTGAACATTCACTGATTTATCTATCTTTTCATCACTGAGCTTAGGCTAAAGGGGAAAAAAAGGACAGGGCTGTTTCAGCTAGCTGCTGCTTTTTGGCATGCAGTGCTGCAAAATCAGTATTAAACACATGCCTTTTTTCTAGGTAGAGTATAGTACTGCCACGTAACAGGAAAAAAAGGTTCAAACAATAGAGGGCCTGGAGCTTCCAGCTGTGGAGAAAAAGAACTGGCACACAACTTCTAATTTTTCCTTTTCTTTATTTTTGTAAAGCTTAAAAATGTTACATAGCCACAAACTAGGCATATTGGTTAGAAGTGAAAGCACAAGATGGTGATCTGCATGAAAATAAAAAGCAGTTGATTATACAGTTCACAGAAATGTATCTTAGTCACCAATAGTGAGGTCAGAAATAAAGGTTCTCCTTAGGTTTATGGGGAAAAAAACCTTTTGCATGGGGCCACGTGAAGCCACCAGATTCTAAATGGGTCTCCCCACAGGAATTTTAGTGAGGGAATTCTGCTCAAAAACAGATGGACTGATACAACCTTTGGAGAAAGTATAATGCCAAATAGTTCCTTCTTCTTTTCAGTAATGTCAAGAGACTGATTTCTCCTGTAAAATGCACAGGATTTCTGAACACATAGGCATCGGACATTATTATACATTTATTTTTTAAGCATCTTTCACAGCAGCTGCTAGTGACACAGAGACATTTCCATTTGACTGAACTGAGTTAAAGGTACTATGAGGAAGAGGTGATCTGCATTCTCAGGGTATGGTTACACTGCAGCTCCTGTGGAGATCCCTCAACTGGCTTTGAATGTACAACCTGGGTAAAAAGCGGGGGGGTGTTACCTTGTGCTGAGCCCCATACTACTATCATTACCTGACCTAGCTTGTTTAAAGCTGGCTTAGCTATATCTCCAAGTGCGTCAGGCTTGCTTTGGACTGTAGACATAGTTTCACTCCAGTTGCCTGGGTGGATCCAACTGAATCCTCTTTGCCTCCTTGTGCTCCTGAGAAAAACAAGGATGGCCAAGACTTCCGCTCAGTCATTAACTCTGAGGTGTGCTCAGAGGCTGAAGCTAACAAGAACAATGAACCAATACAGGGTAGTTGCTCTTATTGAAATCAATGGCAGTTTCCCTGAATGAAGGCTTAAGGATTGGGTTGGATGAAAATATCATGGCTTAGAGTGCAGCTCTAGTAATGCCAAGTCTTAGGCTGAGCTTGGCAGGTTCTGGTGTATAAAGACATTTTAGGGCTATAAAGACATTTTAGGGCATGTCCATCAGCCTCAGCATGGTGAGAAGGGGTGTGTAGAGCCAGCACAGCATGTCTCAGCATGGTGCTTCCTGGCATTACACTCAGGTGGTACAGACAAGGCCTTAAAGTCTTGAAAGGCTCAACCAGCAAAGAATGAGGCCTCCACGTCCATCGCATTACATGACTTTATTCAGCAGAGCTGGTCTGGGTGCTAGGTGGTTTGGACTGCCTACATTGGGTTACTCAGTCAGCGCTTCTAGTTGCAAGGAAAGCTTTGCTTTGAGGAGAATTTCATACCAGTTTGGGTAGTGCTAGTGTGGTACTATCAGTGCAGCGTCCTGAAGGGATAAGTGCAAGAGTTTCTCTTCTTGTATTTTGAATTGTGCCGCTTACTGATACTCTCTTGTGCTGTGCATACTTTGAGCCACATCGTCTGACTGTGTCCATATCCATTTTCTCTGTGGGAAGGCATTGGGTCTATTATTGTGGAGTAGGAATGTCTTCCCTGGGAAGTTTGGGATGCAAAGTATAATCCAGGCAGTAATGGTTAAGTCCTGCTTAAGAAGCCATGGGTCAGAGCCTCAGTATAAATTGTCTCTATATCAAGCCAAATCCTAGCTCCGGTGAAGTTAATGGAAAAACTTTCTTTCACTTCAACACGGCCAGGATTTACCATACTGAATTCGGTGGAATAATGATTTATACCAGGTGATGATCTGGCCCTATCACTTGATATTGAGCCTATGTTGTACATGACATTGAGCATGTTTCTGATTTTCTTCTATTTAAGGGATGTTTCTGAGGAGGATTAGGACATGTTGACAGAGTGGGTTTAGTGTCCTGACAGCTCCGGACGTGTGCCACAGGCTGTTCCTCCTCCCCCAAGCCTGGTCAGTTCAGCTGTAAGTGAGTACTGGGCTAGGAGGAGAGGCAGCTGGCTGCTATGTAGTGAGCTGTTCCTACAGAAACCAGTGTGTCCTAACAGGCTTTCCAGGGTTAGATGGACCATGAATTTAAAAAAGTTGTAGGTAAAAGCAGCTCTGGCAGTACAAGGAGCCCATGAATTTCCTTGAATGTAGTCAGCTGTGGCAAGATGATAACAGCAACCACCGATAGGACTTAATTTCTGTATGGAAATAAAACTTCCATGGATTACTGTATCTTATTACTCCTTGTTTATATCACTCTCCTCTAGGACAGCTGTTATCCAGATTAAGCAAGTTTTCTAACCTCCAGTTTTTAAAAAAAAAAAAGATTCCATTGCAATTATTACATGCTATTATTGGCTGGTTAATTATGTGCTGCATATTTACAGCATATGATTGCTCCTTAGTCTCTCTGACACATGCACACGAGACTTTGGTTATAAACATATGGCCTGCTCCTTCTGCCATTAAAGTCAATGACAGAACATCCAATGATTCAATCAGAACGGGATGGGACTCAGGGAATGTAAAAGAGCCACATCATCAGTTTAAACTACGAGGCCAATAAAAATAAAGCTGGAGCGTTACCAGCCCTGGAGCTGAACTGATGAAAGTATACAGGCTTGCAAGTAAGAAGAGCTACTCAATAGTAGCTCTCAAAAACCCAGGAAAAGACTGACTCGAAAGAAAAGTGGCATCAAAGGAAAAATACCAAAAGAGAAGGTTAACAAATAGTTCTTCCTCCTTCATTAATAAATCTTCTACCCATAAGGGTATCTTTAATGCAAAAAAAAATAAAAAATCATTTTCTTTTTATCATTTCTAAAGATCAGTGTAAACCAAAACAAGGGCAAATAGGGAATAGGGAAATGATGTTGCCTAGGTGGATCAGACCTGCAGTGTGGTCTCCAGCAGTAACCAGTACCACTTTTCTTATGGTTTTACCCTATTCCAGTACATTTGGGGCTTTGCCCTACACCCACCACACGCCTTTGTAACCCCATCAGAATCGCAGGAGTGAAGCATGTAAGGATTGGGCCCTAAATCACTGCAGGAGCAGCTATTTACAGGAATGCTCTGGAAAAACGGCACAGGCAAAGAACCAGTGACAGCTTGGTGAGGAAACCTTCATGTGCAAATACCGCCTGGGATGCAAACTATGCAAATATACCTGTGAATCAACCTACTGGGAAGGAGACCACAAACCAGGGATGCCAACGAGGAGGCAAGGCAGCCTCTTCGGATGCTGCAAAACCAGCCGGTGAACCGAAGAAAGCTGCAAATAACCCCGATAAAGTACATTTCTGTATTTATTCAGCTGCTACACTACTGGAAAGTCAGACGTGAACAATGAGGCCCAAAAGCAGTATGTTTATCATGGCCATGTGACAAAGCGCATATAGCCAAAAAAAAATATGTACCCATACACACATGCACACATGTACATACATACACGCGTTATCTAGGTATCTATCTATCATCTCCCCGCAAAAGTTGCTCTCCATGAATTACTCTTATTTCCCTGCCAGCAGCGGCCGCCGCCAGGTCAGGGCCAGCCGTGCCAGGCGCTGTACAGACCCTGCTCTGCTCTGCAACCAAGTCACTCCCATCACCTAACGAAGTGTGCCGGGGGCGGGGGCGGGGGTCCGTCCTGCACGGCTGGGGTCCGGGGGGACCCTTCTCTTTTGCTCTGGGTCGCGGGCCGGCCT